CAGCTGAGAATTTCATGGACCAAATTTCACCCCAAGTGTTTAGCACAGATAAGTCCACATGTACCTTTTTAAGGCCCGACTCAATGCTATCGGGTGATGATAAGTAGATGAGTTTAACATCGTACGCAAAAGGGCATGATCGTCCATGTTTGATGTAATCACGTATGGTATTTTCCACATCAGGCAGAGCAGTAGTCCAATGACACTGCCTTGAACAACTCCGCTTGTAACTTCTCTCGAGCTGGAGAGTTCTGGCCTATTTTAACGCCCTGTGTTCTACCTTCTAGGTTGCTGGCTGCGTAAGAGTGCAGGACGGACAGCAAAGGTTTAAGTGGCACACCATGGAAGGCCTTGTGCATTTCCCGGAGATTGACAATAGCCGCCATGCCATTGACAGCAACCGATATTACGTGGTCGAAGATTTGTATATGATGGGCGTAAGGGTTTTGATACGTGGAGGATCTCTCAGAGAAACTAACGGTATTCTTTCAAGATCTATTTTAATCTCCATTCTGTTACTTGCTGCACAGTGGGTTAGCACAATTGTAGGCTATTCTTTAATAGCTATGCGTCTTTCTAACTGCATTTGGACTGTCCCGATAGTACCATTTTTAATTTTTTTCAGTTATCAGCCTTTTTAATCTCAGGAAAGTAGTAATATTTAAATCATCGAAGAACTTCAACAAAATCGGACACGACTTCATTTTTTAATTTCCCCGAAGTCTTTTAAAAACACAGTAAAACCGATCCATGTTGCAGGCGGCGACGAGGGCAGTATTAATCTTTTGTTTCTCGGTCTATTGGGTATATTGAATATAACCACATATTTTGATCTGCGCAAGCCCTCTTGGGTTTTAGAGGTGATAGGCAAATATTGATTTCGAGTATTTGTGTTACGGTCCTTTAAAATTCGAGCTAAACCGTTCAAATTGCTGCATGGCTTTTATGAGTCGGATCATGCATGGTCTATAAAATGGAGATCTCAATTCTACACCAAAAGTACACGTGGAAGTCATACGTTCGACGTATTCCAAGGAATAGGGTAGCTTTTGATAACGAGGAAAATGAACCACCCAAGTTACTCCGGGGTAGCATAATGTATCATGCGTTATTCTCAGTCTCGAACCGTTAACGTTCTAGGCACAAATGAAGCGAGAGTGCGAATCAGCCATTCGATTATTTTTCCCGGATCTGTACATTATCTCGTAGTGATAAGCAGACAAATCAAATCGTCATCTCACAATCTTGTTATCTTTGATCTTATTGGAATTTTTGATATTATGCACTAAAGATATGGAATGTGGAAATGCAATGGAATAACGTCGGGATTTGGTGGTAAACGGCTGACAATCTGGAGGTTGGTGAGCGAACTGGGAGGCGATTTTATTTTAGCTGCGGTAACTCCGCACAACAAGAAAATACCGTGTTAAACACCAAACGATATTTCACCTTGTTATGCAATCGAAGGAAGTTGTTACCGGGCAGTGCATCGGCGCATATGTTAGGCATGACAGAAAGCTAAAGGTTGTTGCTGACAACATTTTGGTAGCAGATTTGCGCATTAAAATATCCGGTAACTGCAAGATCCAGTGAGTTAAAAGCTATTGAGATTTGATATTTACAGGGAAGGACGATCCAGTAGTGGGAGTCGACTACAGATTGATATCCATATCTGTCAGAACTGCCAATATCTAATAGGGCTTATAAATCGAGGTTGTAAACAAGAAGCTCGTTTGTTGTGCGAGAAAACAGTTGGGAGCAGCAGCCGTTAGATCAGAAGACATTAGATTTCTGGGGCTAAATTGACGGGGCATAACCTAAATTTGATTTCCACACAAATTTGAGGTGTCCAGCCTTTTCGCAGTCCTTGAAAATGGCACTTGGATAGAATACAACGAGCTAAAACATTGGATATATTTGGGTGTTGCTCTTCCCAACACTGGTACGCCACGACCGCGGTTTCGTCTTGGTTTAGACTCGTCAGGTGGAGATAGCCTGAGCTGGGGTGGAACTCAGAGCTTAGTAGCTCAGTGTTCAGGGCGTCAGCCATGAGCTACTAAGCTCTGAGTTCCACCCCAGCTCAGGCTATCTCCACCTGACGAGTCTAAACCAAGACGAAACCGCGGTCGTGGCGTGCCAGTGTTGGGAAGAGCAACACCCAAATATATCCATTCAGGATACGGTCCTCGAGATCGGAATGACCGAGGTTTACCTCAAACTGAGCCGAGGTCTCAATAGAGGTTGCGAGTCGCAACCCAATCACACAGCGTGCTTCCAAATTCAACTTGAGCTAAAACATTGTTTGGGCGCACATACAAAGAATGAAGTAGTGTAACGCCACTATCAAATGTTTTGCACTCAGAAACTTGTTCATAAATCGAATGTGAAAAAATTGATGAGCATACCAAGATTGTCCATTAAACCGATTGAATTCGTTTTACGATGGGCTTGAATCTCGAAATCAATAGGTCCATTGGTTTGAAGCATCAGATGGATATAGCTCGATGTCGACTTTGTCTGGACGAAGATAACGGTCCATGGAAATGTAATACTAGTAAATGTAATACTAGTAAAGTCGAGCGAAGATAGGACAACAAACGGGTTAATTCAAGGATGGAGGAATACGCTTTACTGATCTAACAACGAAAGTATAACAGTTGAAATGTAAAACAACGGATTAGGATGCGTCCGGTACAAACCAGGTGAGTGAATGAGAAAGCGTGAATACGACAGTTATAATAACCGACCGGCTGTTGGAACACGCGCTTTATGTTGTGCTCGTGGGATAGCATGGCCCGTAGATCTACGCGGTTCCTAGGTATCGCAAACAGGTAGACACAATAATTCACTCCTGATGCTTCACCTCATAAAACCTGCGCTTACATTGCGTCTACAATTGAAGGTAATCAGTCCTCTGAGACACACGAATTAGTTGGTCAAATCTGTTATCCACCATTTGAACGGAGAAGGCTTTTGTCCTCAGCGTACAGCGAAATTGTACGACGGGCTCTGTGATTATATGCATTCGAATAAGTTGATAAACACCTCTATCGCGAATGATTCTCAACTGCCACTGTTGAGTCTCCCTTCACTGACTGACCCACGACGACCATGCGGAATAGTCCATAATCGTAAGGTTTAAAATGTGGGAGTAATTGCTTTGCTATCCACATCAGTCCGATTGCATGTTTAATGTTTATTTCGTTAAAGAAATTGAACTGGTCCCACTGCAAATATACAAATACATAGTCTGTGAGTACAAATTGTCTTTTCTGCTGTAGCTAGCCATCTAATCGGTAAATGCTGCAAGTTGGGAACTTGCTGCTTAGTCGACAATGCGTTCATTGCCACGGACGTTCTTGTCCAATAAATTATCTCGTCTGTAGCAGTGCAGAAATTGCTTCATCCGCATCATGCAACGCTGCATGGTGATATCAAACATAAACGTTCACTGTTTGGTTGGCCAGATGGAGAAGCTTCTGGTGTCCCAGTCATTAACTGCAGCTAGTCGCAGTATCACTTAGTGTGCATAATTCAGGCACTGTGTGTAAATGTACTTCACTTGGTTGCTCATCCACACAGGTTGATAGCACATGCGAACCTATTTTCGTTTGACGTATTGGTTACTTTGTTCAGCTGTTTAACGTGGCAACGCAAAGCACACCGAAGGCTGTGCTTCAACGGATCTGCTGACCTTCAAGTGTAACACATCAATTAGGTAGACCTCTGATGGATCCCATATTAAGAGCAGTCTCTTCTCTAACGGGCTGAACAGCAAACGGTTCAGCATTGCTTCTGTCTGCTAGATGTATGTTTCATATTAGTGCTGAGTTTACCTGTCCGAGTTTCTGCTTTGCTTATGTATGCGATTTACTGACCTAGGTGGCTTTCAAGACCATCTTCAGGACTATTGAACTTGCACGCTGAATTTCTACCGATGACTTAGTTTACGCAACTGAACTCCATTACGGAGGTAGGAGGCTCGTGTTCTCGGTCGTATGTAGATTTGCAGCTGTACCTTGTTGATGGGATTCTTGACTTGAAATACATACCGAGGACATTGACTTATTAGTTGGTAGCTCATGAAGGTGCCAAGCAGTACTTAAGATTTCCTGCTGTGACTTGCACCCGCTAAATACACCGCTTCCTTCAAATATTGATAGGTACCGCATCCTGAGCTGACTTTTGGTAGGGATCAGATAAATCTCTTCCAAAAAGTCAGCAACCTAGGAGATTTAAGAGCTGGATTACCCGGATCGATATGCTTCCGCTAAAATTCGCGACCACTGGCGCCGATGTGACAACTCTGCCGTGTTGTGTGCCTGTGAAAGCTGGGTATCAAATTGACACGGAACGATGTTTGTTAAATAAGCACGCAGGTGTCATGGTAGATTTGTTCATCTCATGTGGGGCAAGGCGTGAGCAATAGGCTTGTCCGGTGCCATTTTATGTTTCACCAAATTCCGATGACCTGGTCATGCCAACACACTGACTCCAGAATTGTGGTTCACGCAAACGAACATTGGGTAGATGTACATAGCAGGCCTGTTGATCAACAGAACCGATTCCCCCACTTTGAAGTTAGCCTCGGGAATGGACTTCCAGCTTCCTGGTTGCATACATTTTTGAATTGACGAAGAACAGATTTCTGTGGCCACTGCGTTTCGAGTTTCTTCATCCCGCTTTATCTTTTGTGCATCTTCTTCAACTACGTTCTCGCTTCAGCTTAATGACATAAGACAAGGAATATTACTATATTGGTTTTGCTTTTTTACTTGGTTGGTGTTCTTGAGTCTTCCTTTTATAAGACAATAAAAATAAGATGCGTTATGGTACATAGTCCATTTGTTGCACATCTTGAGCTAACGCATCAAATCGTTATGGTGTTTAACTACATCCAACTATATGTGGAGTATTCCTGCTAAAACTGGGTAGATCCAAAATTACCACATACCCGTCGTCTATGGAAACTTTCGCTTCATTACCATCTTTCACTTTAGGTGGCCTTAGGCACTCTGCCGCGCACCATTACTGCTGAAGATGCTGAGAGTACATGCCTGGACGCGTGTCAATTTGCCGAGGAAACTTACTCCCGTGCAGAGCAGTTCAGTCGAGGTCAGCTACCCTTGAAATGTCCTCGGTTGGAAAGCTGGCCACCCACATGCCAACAACGGTGCAAGACAGAAGTGGACTGTTCCCCGATGGGTTTGTACAAATGCTGCTCCAGTTCCGCATGCTCCAAACGAGACATGCCAGATGGAAATGCCACCGAAAAGTCTGTCTGTACACCTGCTGTCACGGTATCCAATGGTGAGCACTCAAACTATTCCCATTAGGCCAAGTTGCCAAACTTGTGGCCTTTCTACTTACAACAGTACGAGCAAAATTCAACTGGCGCACGATATTTCTTGGTGTGAAACCATGACACCTACATGGCACTCTTTCTGATCAAATATCGTAGTCTATTTCTTAATAAATGCAATTGCAGTTCTAAGATTTGAATGTTGTTGGTCATTGCAAACTGGGATACCGTGATTTCACTTTTTCCGATAATGGTGCATATATTCAATTAAACTTTTGCATTGGAATCACAACTTCTAAACCTCAACATAAAGAGTAATCGTCTCACCTGATTTCCCTATAATATTGATAGATATGTGAAGGTCATAGTTGACCACATGGAATTCTCATTCCCGAAATTCGTGACAGAATATACAGACGGAACTTAGGTTTCGTTTCCCGATTCACAGTTAGTTTAGGTTTCGACACAACAATCCCATGGGATTTTAACCCCGAATGTTGGAGGAGCACAGGAAATGCAATTTACCATTTTCGTGGAGACATGGTTAACCTTTGTGGGGTCCATATGTTTACATAAAATTCCGCAACCATTTTGTTAACCTTAGACAGCTGGGAACTCCGTTTTTATTTATGTTGCTTTACAATCTGTTCTGTTGCATTCATCGAGATTAATTCAAGTCTACATTCGTGCAAGTAAAATATGACCATAATAAAGACGATTCTGATAACTGTCGATATAAAGCCCAACGATAAACGCACATTCATTCTGCCATGATCATAAGATACATGCCGGTGAATTGAACTTGGACCTCTGCAGGGGTATTGTGACCCCGAATAGATTCCAGACGTAGTAGCACCCATCGGGATCGAAATGTTTTCATCGTTATTAAATGTTATAATTAACATATTAGACCTACAAGTATTTCCAATTTGGCTCAGCTTAATAACATATATATTCACCAATCAAATAACGACAAGTCTACTACCACTCTATCAAATTCTCTACAACATATCGGTTCAATCTAGGGCCGTACAGTACCTGCAGTAATGCTGATCAGAATGGCTAGTCACGCAAACCGATGGACTATTTTGTCCATTATACACTGCACATCTTTTCACCTCTTGAAAAATTCGTAAATGGTATGTCTAACTTGTAGTCGTCTACTTCAACCGCGTAGTTAACAATACGCACACCATTTCCACTTCGTTACCTAAAAATTTATGGACTGCAATTTTTGCTGTTGTAATCCCGAGATGCTTCCAACCATGAGATTTGGAATGTATTTTCTCTAGTGCTTCAACTGCTTACATAACAGCTTTGTATTCCATTGATAAGCGTTAATCAGTGGATTCTGTTACTTACATCATTCGTATAAATCGAGACGAGAACAAAGGGCAGGTTAGCTTGTGTCATTATAAAACAGCATCATCATATCAACCTCAGGATCCTTATGTTATTTGGAGCTAGGTAGCCGCTTTTAGACATTTTAACCGTTTTTATAGGGAGTGGCTTGCGTGGTGCGTGCTTTGTTACTCAAGATTTGCCTGGTTGGGACAACCGGCAGTCAAACAATATTGTCCATTGGTCGGTGCCAAGTACTCCATATCATTTTGATAACGATTCTTAATATGTAAACATTTTGTTTATAAAACTAGGATGGGGGTGGAGAGATTAATAAGGTAATAGACTGCAAATGTCACTGAAACCCACTCCCACTATGGCGCTCATTAAAACAAATATATCTTGAACATTTTGCACACATACTGTTACATAGGTTTGACATGTTAAATCTGGGGCAACGGGTAAATTTCACTACAATAATTCATCAAACTTGTTCTCGGCCTATCCGATATTTAGCTTACTTTGTATCCATTTTAATTAATTAAGTATGCTACCGATTCCTTGCAGATGGATGCACTGTGAAAATGCTTTCTGATTAGCTTATGCACTCTGACGATCCACGCCAACTGCACACACGAACTTCGGCTCTCTTGATGTGAAAGTTATTTCACGGGAGACTTATTTGTGATATTGAACATTGGAAGGATACCCTTTGGGTTGTTAGGAAAAGCTTTCGGACAACTAGGCCTCCATAGTTTTCCTCGTGTGTAGTACACAACTCAGAGCCGCCAACCATTATTCCAATCAAGGGCACCAATCTGCATCCCCTCAACGTCGTGGTACCATCTACTATGAAAGCTCTATCATCCATATCAGCCAGGTTTGATGGAATCAGGAATAGTCTGAGGAGAGTATCAGCTACCATAAAGCGAGTATTTGATCGTGCAAAGACAAAATCAAGCTGAATGTAATTGTGTAATCCCTGAACTCCAAGAAGATGTACAGGCATCTGGAATGGCTCGGAGCCTGTTTGGCTCTTCGTGTATGCCAATTCCTTCACGCGCTCACCGATTATGTCGTTTTCAAGGCATACATATCCGTCTTTAGATCAAACGTTGAACGCAGTCACTGATGTTTGAATATTAGGTATAATGTTACCATTGCAATATAAATGGAATATATTTAGCTCTACCAGCCATTACTAATAATAAGTGCAAAACAACGCCATAGGTCTTACCATGTCAATGGAACCAAGTAAAACGCAGCGCCTAACATCTTGTCAGAATCGGTATGATAGACTTTCTGTGACAATATAGAAATCTCCCCCCAGAACAGCAAAGGTGATTTCAATGCACGCATTTGTTCTCTTGTAATAACACTTTGTTCGCTGTGCTACTTTGCGCATAGTCTAAGGCCTTTGCTGTACGGAGAGCTAAGATTGCATCTCATGTTTAGGTACACCATTCATTACTGACCGACCAGCCGTGAAGCAAACGCAAGTCAACTCGCCAGAAACGCAGCCTGATACAATCCCAATCGACCCTCAGGAGCCCCAGTACCAGCTGGAACTGGATTGGTCAAACTATTATAACCGAACCGGAAATAATCCAAGCGGCTGGGATCGGAGTCAGTATCCGGCGGTATTTCTAGTCCAGTTGCGTCAATTCCATGATCCGACAGCGAGTGTACGTTTCACCCAATCAGCTGAAATCCTCGCCGCTGCTGATACGTTCTTTGACCAATGGAGAAATTTGGTTTGGGTAAGTGTATTTAACGGCGTTTATTTCACTGTTTATTGTATAGTCTTAAAAAGTAAGCTAAATAAGAATGAAGAAATTTCAGATTCAAATGGTCAGAAACTTAGCTTTCTTGGTTGCTTGAAGAAGATAACGTCAAACTTATGTTTGTTGCTAATGTGTTCGACCACCTGCAAGCAATGCACTCCACAAGATCACCATTTTACTTACCGATTACAGTATTCGGTAAGGGCTGAGTAAGCGCGGAGTAAGCGATCGCTTGCTCAACAAAACAACGAAGGCACTGTCTTTCAAAGGTTAACACCTGTGATGAACACTGTTCCATGTGTTCTGGTTGCACTATCAAGAATCCTGTCTGTTCGGCCAGTATGTTAATTCAGCATATTGTTGCAGTAGTTTTGGACTTGATAAAGTCTATATGCATGGATCTGAAAAACTTGACAGCTGATAAGATTCACTTTTCCAACAACTACCATCAGGTAATAGCAAATACCCTGAGTAGCTAACTGCTCCGAAAAACATCGTTGCTGACCTTAATGCGACAGCATATTTTTCCGTAATGTGGAAATTTGTATTTTCTTTGCAGACAACCAAATTGGGTGCAGTGTTGTCCGATTTGCGACCCGGGACATGGTACCAATTCCGGCTGTTAACTATCTCTAAAGACGGTTTCGGTGGATGGAGCGAGCCGAGTAGACCAGTTCGAGTACTCACGCGCCCTGTGCCACCCTCCAGTCCGAGGAATTTGAGTGAAGTGCGCACACGATTATTTGACCACACAGTAGACGTCACCATTCAATGGCAGCCTCCGCGTACTGGAAATTTACCACTGAAGAAGTACCAGGTAATAATAATAATAATAATAATAATAATAATAATTCCTTAGAAGTGCTCGATCAACTGATATCCTGGAAAGTTGGGATTTCATTAGCATGTTCTGAACTTCAGTGTATGAAACATCATACTGTCTATTCGAGCGTACAGTGCTTCAAGTATTCTTTAATTATTGATAATATTGTCAATCATTTTGAGAAGTAAACTGTTTTGATGTTAATATTCAGAGTTTTGCTTGCTTTAAAATTAGGCAGGCATTCGCTGTCCAATTACGTAAGGGTTGATGAGGAATTACATAACAGTAGATCGGTACCTCTATTGTAAAGTTTTTTCCGCGGTTTTGATTGATCTACTGCTATCGTGTCTGACAACCGACTGCGCCTTCCAGACAAAAGTACCGCTTCGGTTTCTCCAAATGAACGATGTGAGTAAGCTCGAAACCGGTCTCATAGTGCGATGCTGCTAGATGTCGACACAGCACATTCGTCAAAATCAAATGCTTCTTAATAGGCGCGTTTGTAGTTAGGTTTACACGAAGACTGCTGCCTCTGGCTCACGACCAACAACAGTCACACGTAGTCTGAGTATACCGCGAGGACGCCCACTCCTACGCGGATTCGAACCGCTTACTTATGTTTGCAAGCTAAACTTGCAGACCAGTCAGCTACTGGCCGCGAAGGCTGTACAGTACGAATACTCTTCGGTGTCAAGGGTGTTACTGATGACACCTCATTTTACTCTAAACATTTGCTGCATGATTGCACATACAAACTGTCTACGCAAAACTGGCACTCGACGAAGCGAAAGATTTTAAGGAGAGTATTTTACGTATTGTAACGTCTGCTTTTCCCGAATGATATTTTAGGTGAACAATGAGCAAATAAAAAGCTTGCACACGAAATTAGCAATTATTCTCAATCGCCTACAAGGCAAGGTTATCATTCAGTTGCAGGTAGTCAGTGTTATTGTCCTGGTGACAGATTGTTTCAGAATACCTTGAGGCGAACGGACAGGTATACTTAATTTTCCGTAGCTTAAACAGATGCTCAATTGGAAAAGGAATATACATATGGTGGATGTGAAAGTTTCTGATAAAAATCAAGTATGATGTGACCGCTCTATTATCCGTAGTTTTGTCAGTTAGTTCGGCATCATAAATATTTGTGTTTCATCCAAATCACCCATCTTTTGTCCAAGATCACTAAAATTCGCTTCGTATTTGTACCTTTCAAATGTTAAACGCGATGGGGCTTCTGGTCTTTGGACCACAGGAAAATTACCTGAGGCTGCAAAGTCATAACACCAGGGCAAATTCCTAAGCTCGAAGGTGGAAGTACGAAGGTGCAAGATAGTGAATGTTTTCGGTGTGGCTCTCTCCAGCCCTTGCGATGCAAAATCCACGGCTTTGTCCTTGTTCGGGTTGATCAGGTACAGCCATCCTAGTTGGGCTTGGAACTCGGCGCATAGTGCTTGGCGGCTCTCATCGAGAGGAAGCTTAACTGAACCGATTCCCAAACCTGGCGTGCAGCCTTCACTGTTCGTCGATGTTTGCAGATGAAATAAAAGAGTTCTGTATCGAAATTATGAGAACTGTATATGTCTTTATTTTTCTGGCGCACACCTACAAACGTTCACGCAAAGTTTCGATTGAGTTCATGATCTTCAACTGTGCGTTGGCCCTACGTTTTCTAATGGACCATATGAATTAATTCTTTTGCTACGCTGGTGGAGTTAGTTCAGTTGGCACATTCTCTTTCATCAGACTGAATTTTATTCATCTATAGACAAATCTGAATTTGCTGCACGAATCGCATCCACCATGCCTGACAACATCAACCTTGCTTCCCTCACAGGTAACTTGGCGTCGATATTACGGATTCAGTGGGGATGACAAGAATTCTTTCACGGAATATGAAGCCAGCGTGCCTGGAGTACGTTTTCAGTCTAAATGGCTATCAGAAAGTAGTATACAGACAGGTTTAGAAATCTTTGACTTAGTGGAGCATCGGGGTCAATTTTTTCAGCCAACTAGTCCGTGGCATTGTACCGAGTGTATAGCCATATGTGGCAAACTTTTCGTATCCAACATCCATTTAATCTTTTGGATATATATATTATATATATAACTATACCAATAAACGATCTGCAGGTTCACACAGCACACGAGCGAAAACAATAGAGAGAAAAAGATTAAGTCAGCGGAATGGCTACGTAGGTTCAGGCTGTAAGGTGGGAAGAGAGCTTCCCGTTTTCAATGAAGACGAATTTGACCAAAGGGAAAATCCTCCTGGTGGATAAAATCAGGTAACAACGTTCACGAACTAAGCTTCGTCAGCTCCATCTGGAATTTAATTATGCCTAATGTATGAATGATTTAGAAATTGATGGATGTATAACTATGAGTATACGTGTCACTGTAAGCATCCGAGGAATTTGGAACACGAAATAAGTAAGGTTTGGAGCTATCGAGTATAAATACTTGCAATGCCGCCAAAATGTAGTTGAATATCATAGCAGTCAAGTACAAAACTGGATGAAGTTGACTCACGACAGTATTACTAACCCCCGCTAGTTTTTTGACCGTCGCATATTGAAATTCACCACTTAGCTGCGACATATTTATAAATCTTAAATCCGCCCTGTCTAAGAATTTAATGAACTCCGACAATTAGATACCCGATTATTGTTAAAGACAAGACATTCCGATGTCCTACTAAGTGACGCAAGAAATACAGAGTTTGAGCTACCACTTTACATGCAGATTGACTACTTTGTATTGTTGCCGACTTGTGTTGATTGGTTAGCGCATTCGGAGCACTGGTCTCAGCTTTGACATTTTACTTAGATGAATAGTACACTGTGTGATTATATGGTCAATCGCAATTCGATGTTGGAAATATGTGTACGGATACAGTATGCTACATCAGTCCTATTATAAAGTGTTACCCCTGAAATGAGGAGGAGCCTGGTAACTACTCGCCAGCTGTGACCGCGCAGCAGGCAGGCTTCTCCACTCCTGTGGCGGAAGTGCAGAACTAGGTTTGAGCACCAAAAGCATTCGCAATGATTTTCCGCAAAGTTTGTTCTTGTTGTCCGTTTACACGTAATCGCTGCAGAACAGTGCAGTTACCGCTAAGAGTGATTGTGTAATATGGAATTGCTAGCCGTCCAGAGTGCTTATCAGTCCATCAGCAATGTTAGTCCCGGTTAACCGGCCAAACAACCTCTGTGGATACATGCAAACTGGGTTGATATTGTACTGAAGTAGGCCGCAGCCGCCTGTAATGAAAAATGATAACCAAAGCTTCAGAATGTCATCAAAATCAGGCATTTAGCAACCTGAGAAGTTGGACCGATGGGAAAAACATTTTGGGTAGCACTATTCCGGTTGACTAATCGAAACTCATGAATCGAGGACTGAGATCCATCTGCATGAATGGTGAGTCGATTGACTGTACATGGGCGGTACCCAGTACACTGGTCTTCTTGCCGTTGCTACGGAAATGAGATAACGATGCGTTTGCGCACATAAATAATTAATTTTAGTTATATTAAAGACGCTTGTAATTAGATATCGGTGGTCACTGGTTTGCGTCGGGTAGTGTAATGGTTAATTTCACCCCACCGCCATATATGCAGTTAATTGCTTCAGGATTAGTTTGCAGAAATTGCAATGGTCCACTCGCTTAGGGAGTAATGCCACAATCAAAATATCTATCTATCCAGTACTTTTACCGCAATTGTTGGGCACACTGACTTAACCACAACACCTTCGAACTAGTTACCTGACCGAATAGACATACATTATTATGGTTTTCAGTTGGTGTCACGTCAGAAACTATAAAAGATATATTCAGGCATCTAGATATCGCCTATTCCAGAACCAATATGTTTTTATTGCTTCTAACTTACAACTTTCACTTTCAACAACCGTCTCTCTTACTCTTCGTTCACTGCTTCTACAAGCAATGCACCCATTTTTTGTTACGGCAAAGTTTCTTAAAACGGAGCATTCATGAATCACATAAATAATTGTGGCATAAGCGTTAGCTAATTAGCTTACCTGAAATATGCATGGTACATAACTAGTTTCCGTACTTTCACCTTAGTTCTGTTCCATTAGACTGAGCTCAGACTGAGCACAGCGGCGTAGCATGTATATCCCCATACCGTATGTTGTGCGCAAAACAGTTATCGCAAGTGTTGATTGCATACCCAAGCGTTCAACTCTTCAAGTGATTATGGTGATGGGTGAGGAACCAGAGGTTTGAACATTACGAGAACTATACTTCTGAAGTAGTGACATATAAACAATCCGTCAGATTAGAATATACTAAAAGATACCATGTTGCTGTGTATGGACAGGATCAGTAATCAAGATAACCGAATCAGGCTCCAAAACATTTCGTTACCTGATGTCAAATTGACGTACCAAACGCAATAACTAAGCAGGCGATAAAATGTAGACTATACCGTCACCAATGGATTTATACATGGTTGTAATACCTAGAGCTCTCGTGTTTTTCTGGTATATTTCAGATTGTTTGCATGAATAAATATTTTAGCCAATCACTGCTATCTTCAAATTACCTTTTTTACCATAAAGGACAAAACATTCTACACAATTCAGAACTTGCAGGCAGCAGCGTCATATAAAATTGAAGTGAGTTTCTACTACCATTACGCAGGCGATAAAGACTCGCTATAACACGAGTGTACATATTTACATATGCCATATACTGAGGCTGGTGTTGGTTCTTCCCTACAGTTGGACTATACGGAATTTACCCCAAACTAGATCATATTTATTTTGTTTGATTTCTTCATTTCCGTCATTCTGTTGCATATTCCGTAAGAAACTTTTAGATTTTATATTCCTACAAATTCTATGTTGATTGTTTGACATCCCTGGTGTTGCTGCAATTAATGTAAACAGAGCGTCTACTGATCTCTCAACCTCCAACTCGATTAAGGTCTCCAGGTGATGTTTATCCTTTGCTATGTGCGACCGGGTGCACGATCTTCGTAATGGTGCTAGGCAAAACCCAAGCCAGTCCGCTACGTATGATTCCCAAATTAGACGGACGAAAATGCTGCTGCTGTGCTTGTTGAAGCAGTGACGGCCGACGGCGTTTCTTAGTCTTGATTTTTATCCAGTGTCTCACGGTCTTATTTCTTCAGGTTTATACAGGCTTTGGGGTGTGTAGATGGATGTGTGGGTGATGCAGCGTCTGCGACCAATGGTCGCTCTGTGGATCCAGTCGACCTGTTGCTGTCTTCGTGTAGGTCGCAGTGACAAGCAAATTCGGACCATATCTAGTCAACCGAGCACGAATTCATGAAGAAAGAAAAAGGCTTGCCGAATACGATTTATAAGATAAGACACAAACTAAAGCATTATTGCATAGTAACAAATTAGCAAGGCGGCAAAAATCCGGTTTAATTCCAGAAGTGCTTATTCCGGAGACAAGTATGTCATGCCAACATGTGTAAAGTGGCTGGCAACAAATTGGTAATCGCTCGTGTAGATTTTCATAATCAACAGTTTACCCTCATACAGTTATGTTGTCAGGCTTTATTATCAGGTTTCTTGATACCATAGATAGTTACACCATACGCTGGAACAATGGTTTTATACGGGTAGAAATTGCTAGTGCTCAACTGGTAAGCAAAACAGGGTGTGCGTAGTCAAATTCACTGCAGTATACGTAATATAGATTGTATATCGAGGTTAATGCTTGATAAATAACGCTAAATTGGATGCTGGTAAAATTCGTGTCTCGTTCTGGTGTACACGTTCAGGAAATGAAAAACGTGGAACAAAATTTGAGATTTGACCCCCAGTGAAATCACTTGCAGACACTAGCGTTTATCCGTAGATAATGGATCATGAAAGATGGTGCAGCGAAATAAATGCAGGATCAACCGTGGATTTGAAATCTGTCAGCGTGGGAGCACATAAGACCAATTCCAGTAGGGCATTCCACATTCTGCATACGCGTACGGAAAAGCAATTCCGACGGCAATCTGGACGACTCTACTGCCATGCTAACATGAGATCTTGGTCTCTCAAATTTCTATTGCGACTGAGCTCTAGCAACTGGCGGCACGTGTGGTTGGTATCCCCCAAATGCTGGAAGTCGAAATGAGGTGCTCGCCCAATCGCCGATATTGTCCGCTAAAGTCCCCCAGCCATTGAAGCCTTCGTTCACAGGGTATATTATGCAGGACCTTGACATTCTTGGTTACCCGGCTTTAGGCTATCTCCAATGCGGTGAGATCTCTCCTCAGCCATGGCTACCAAAGCTGTGTTGCGTATTCCACATGCGGCATATATATGAGGCGGGAATTTGCGGAGAAATCGAAGGGTCGAATCATCCGAATACAGCCTTCAGGACGCCCAGGTGTTGGATGCCACTTCTTGATGCCGTTTTAGCCTGATTCAGACAACCAAGGTCTACCTGAAAAACTCCCAGATCCTTCTCGTCAGAAGACGTTGTAAGTTCTTAGTTGCCCAGTGTGTGGGAATGCACCAACTTGTGCCATAGTGGCAGCACTCGACATCTGTCCACATTGAATCGAAGTAGTTTCCTTATTGACCACGCGTATACCTTATATAGGTCAGCTAGAGATACTGTGATATCATCTGTTTTATTGATTGCGACCCACGTCTTGATGCCATCGGCATAAATAAAGCAGTTTTAGCTTATGAGGCCCGTAATGTGGTTGTTATACGTCCAAACTAATCGCGGTCCTACTACTCACACCTGTGAACTCCGCATTCAACTCGGATGGGATTTGACAGCGAATCACGCTCATGTAGTTCCAGGCGCCTGCGCAGAAGAAAGCTTCAACTCCATTGTAGGAGTAGATCACTAATGCCAAAGGTCTGAAGTTTGAAGAGCAGATTGTTATGGTCTAACCTGTCGAACGCCTTTGAGAAACGGAGGAAGACTGCATCAACTCCTGTGCTAGATTCTACTACTTCAGTCCAGCTAAATCGTGTTTAAGGTAGAGTTGTAGTGCACGATCGACTTCGTCGGAAGCCATGCTATTCCTTTGCGAGGTAATTAAATTCCTCCAAGTAGGCGGTCGGTAGTGGGCTGGATTAGAACGTCTACCTCCCTTGAGAATGGAAGTATTCGCCCCTTGTTTTCACATGTCGAGCAGGTAGATCTCTTCAAAACATTGTAAGAAGAATCGCGCCAAATGTTCTGCTAAAATTCCTCCTACTGTCAATAGCGATTTTCTTGTATATTATCAACTCCAGGAAAGGTGTGCTTGCGCATACTCAACAGCTTCTGCCGTGAAGAATATGTGCGTGAGTTTTGGCAGTGAAACAACCATTGACTTGGGGTTATGTGGCCAGTGATCGCAATGCAAGTTTGCAGTGTATTGTAGGCGCGGGGTATTCTCCTCCACCGGCGTCCGCGTGGGTCCGCGGGCATTTTCAAGAGAAGGAATTTCCCGTTTCACTTTACGTAGACTGCTGACTTGTTGATAAAGAAGCTTGTGGTTGGAGGCCATGCACACTGTCCATTTAAGCTGGTATGCCATTCTATCCTTTCCAACAAGCTGAGTACAGTGGTTATGTTAAGTCGCACAGGCCATCCAGTTTTCGGTGTCCCGGGAGAGTTTGTAGATAAGCCAGGCTGAACTTCGCTCCGCTATACACTTGCATGTCTCGCTTCGCAGGAAAGAGACCAGGTTCCTCTGGCGTAATTGCTGACGCTTCGATAACCCCAGAGTTAAATTGGCCGACGAAATGTTCCCATGCACTAGTTGGTGCCTCGTTTTCCAGAATGATCCAGTTGGCTGTGTCACCCAATCGAGCTAATAGGACGTAGCGTATAATCGTTTTTTGTTGAATCGATGATTTCCACGGGAAATTCTGCATGGCAAATTTGTTCGAAGAGTAGGATTACATGATTGCTGCGGCCCAGTGTACGGTCGACCATCACCCTCAAGACCATCTGTTTTTCGTTGGTGAGTATCTGGTATAGTATTGACGGCTTTTCTTTATCTAGGAAAAGAGTTGGAGTTTGTGGCTTGGTACAGCGCGTAACTGGAGACAAACTCTTGTATATCTGCCTTGAACTGTTCTCCAGGAGAAGCTTGGGGCTCCAGAGGGTAGATGTTGAAATCGCCAATGATGAGAATTTGACTGTAGGTTGTGTTTATAACACATGGTTTTGCGGATGCCAGATATAGGTCCGTCACCAGCATGGAGGAATGATGGTGGTAAACGATCGCAACTAAGCAAATCTCGTCGCATTTTATACCTAGAAGATACTAAAGAGAATCTTGTACCGTGCTGACCTTGGAGGTCGTTGAGAAAGTACAGAGCCACCTCTCCCTCTTCTATGGGTTGGTTACGTGAGCTATGGGCATGCCTGTCAGTGCGATCACTGTGTCACTTAAGTCCAGGTGTAATCATGTATCAGTTATATCAAGGAGGTCGCAAGCTATTGACGTTTGACGCAGTCGAATTTCGAAAGGTTTACTCAGTAAGCCTTGAGCGTTGGTGTGCTTACGGGAAAGCCACTCATATGTCAAATGATTTTGACTAGGAGCGCATGAATGATGTGGATTTGTGCCGACCGATGAGAGGCCGGCGCCTACTCGTTCTTGGGTGAATTGCCAAATCTCGATTGGAATGCAATTTGCTTTTGGTCTCACTTGCACCTGCGGTATTTAGTCTATCGACAGCGTTCTCGATAGTTACGAGTCTTAACTCACAGGTTTCTGCATTGCTGTTTCGTTATATTGAGTTGCGGGTGGTATCGTTTCCGCGAGAACAGTGAGTGGTTGCGGCTCTCTAACTGTGGTTTTCAGTCGCAGTTTCGAAGGAAGTGTGTTTCATTGTATCTGCCAGCTACGAATTAAGTTCCCGGCAATCTGTTGTGACTGCAATGTTAGTTTCATTATTCCCGGGTCACTCGCTCTGTAGTTTGTCGACACGGGTAACCGTGTAATCAACTGAAAAATGACGTTGCTCGCAAAGAGAGCTTCTCGGATGTAAAGAAAACCTTCCAGGTCATGCGCGTGGGCTTCTTCGTTGCTAGTTGTTGACAGCGCGGACACGCCATGAACGAAAATAATTCTTTTGTTTTGGTTAGTCTCAGTAGACTTAGTGAAGGGATTATGGTCTACTAAATAATATCTTTATCAAGTAACGTTTATTTTACACAAGTATTTATCTGTCTATGTCATTCTACTGATCGTTTAATTGTGGATCTAGTTCCAAATTGTTTACCTGTTAAACTACTTCATTCTTATTAGGTTATGGTTTAAATTGTAATGTTGTTGTAAATAATTATCTGATAACAACTTGCACACTGAATGGGCCGAACGCATACCAAAACAGATGTAATATGTCAGATTTTGTGGAGCTGCAACCGTGTCAGTGGAGAAGCGCCACAATATCTAACTCGATATAAAGAATCAATCATGCAAAGACGACATTAAAATGCACAGCATGTTAAGAAATTTTAAAATGTAATTCTTCTGGCTAAGCAAGGAACGAAACTGGTTAGGATACACGTTGCTCATAGGGGCTTCGGCACGTATACTAATTCGGCTACTTTGTCCTTTGTTCGATGGAATTCGAGACCAGAAGCAGGATGAGCACTGTCGTTGAATCGTTTATCCTCTGATGCAAATTCCTATATCATAAAATTAATACCAGATGGCTTATTACTCACATACATTAAAAACAAGGTAATTCACCAAATTCAGAACGCTGACGAAGTTACTGTTTTGCCCTTCTCTGAAATTACATACTCCACTTATTTCTCCTTTTCTTGTGTTACATGCTGTTCTTCGGTTTTGAGTGTTTTCATTTTGCACCTGAAAAAACCATTTGATGCAACAATTTCACACATTTTGGCTACGCCAGAACTTGAGTAAAAATTGAATTTTTTATCTACAGATTCCGTTCAGTTGCATCATTACTTACCGATATATAGATTAGTTACGGACTCAAAAGTACACCTCATATTGCAAAACTGCAACTGAGAGCGTGCAACTTTGGGTGAACTCGCTGCAACTGGTTCCCGTTTAATTTCACATTATCACAGAAATTGATATTAAAAAAGTAATTAATTTCTCTCTCATCTGCAGGTCAAAGCAGTGTCCGTTTTTGACGCTGCGGAGTACAGTAGCCATCCAATCAGTCTGTTCATCAACACATTACCAATTCCAGCGCGTTCTGCCAGTTTAGGTGAGTCCAGCTCTCTTGCTTTCTGGATGTGGTTTGGATATGCACCAGGAATACAATAAACGCGCAAATCATCTCCCTTGCCAATGTGTTCCTCTCGAGGAGGACAACAAAAGGTTTCCAACTGCTGGCAATTAGTCTACGAAACATCTGTGAATTAATTCATCAAAACCCCACTTGCAGTTACCGTTACTGATGAGTCGGTATCAATTGCACACTAGCCCCATTTTATCTTTGTTTAGGTTGGGAGATCAACGGTAAATACATTTCCCATTTCCTTCTTCTCTATTCATCTCAAAGCAAGTTCAAATCATGCAGTGTCAACCAATGAGTCTTGTCGATGCGACCGGATGGAACGACCACCGATACGAATAGGTGAGGTGTTTTTCGAAAATCAGCGACTTAAAGCGCCGTTGCATTTCAAACGGATGGACGGTGAGTTTTCTACTCAGCCCATGTGCATTCATGGGAAACCGATTAAACATGAGAATTGTATAACACTCTATCGTCAAAATATTAGATACCATTTGCATTAAATCATGACTGCCGGTATAAATATGTGCATTTACGTAGTCCAAGGTACAGACAGTTTCAGCGGTCAGTTGTCGAGCAAGGTACTATAAATTTCGCCCGAACAAAATGTTACGGCCGTTAGTGAAGTTCGCCAACTGTGGCGCGGAATCATGTTCCTTTCTTCGGATGAGCGCAAGTCCCGGCCATCCGTTGTCAACGCGCAGCGCCGAGACAGATGATTGAGCCGGACAGTCTCTCGGCTCGGTTGACCGAAAGGGAGTTTGCTTGGGATTGGGAGGGTGAAAAACAAGAACAGGATCGTCAGTGGTAGTTCCTTTTCCTTTTTCACCAGGACGTATGCAGCAGATGTGATAATATGTTCCCCCCTACTTGACTGTCGCTGCAGCCTGATAGCATTTTTGTAACAGCGTAATTCACCAGTTTTGGGTGAATTGTTTTACTGCCACCAAGCCCACGCCTGGACGACAGAACGATTGGGGTCCTCAGCCAATAGATTCGATAAAATTCGCTACCGATTTGCAGCGGAAAATGCACCATGTGTCAAGCGATATACACGGTTTTACCTTGGCGTTTAGCCAACGCTGCCCCAACAATAATGCTATGGACGGACAAAACTAAAGGACACTATGAGAAGAGATTTTTTCAGAATCAAAGCTGCGGCGATTATATAAGCTCTCTATAACACGACACACGTTTAAGAATGCAGCCGACTCCCACGCATACCTGCTTGGCGGCATCCGGTTACTTATTTGCCTATCACTGCGGCCTCCACAGGACAGCCACTGAATGTCTTCGCCTACATTGGGATCATGGGTGGCTTGCGCTGCATAACGCATCGCCTTATCCACACAACACACCAAATGTAAACTCGAAGGAATAAGGTCGAGAGGCATGTGTGTTTTATCCACTTTTCAATAAAAAAGCTGGCTCACACTCCGTCACAGGCAAACACCAAAATTCTGTTGGATTCCATGGTTGAGCGCTAATGTTGATGCCCAAAAGACTGAAGCTGATAAATACTTATCTTAATCAATCGTTGCTTCTTGGCTTCTTGCTGCTCGTGGCCACCTTTAGGACTTACCAAACCCATTCCGCTGTTGCATGCAAGAGCGCAGATGCTACAGTCCAAGGTGCAAGACCTCCATTATATTGGCTCCGTCGGTATATGAGATTGCGTAATCCGCATTTTCCTCCCGGTGCAACATTGCTTACTCATGAACATGGGCAACCATTTTCTGGATGGGATCCTGACATTAAGCTCGATAAAATTGAAAACTCACTTCAAACATGTCTTTATAAAATGGCTTCGGCTTCCATAGGTTCCGCTTCCGTATAAGTTGGCTATACAGCAAGTACCTCGCTATCATCGTGGCGTCAATAAAGTAAACAAGTGCGACCCACCGCAGATGTCACAGGAACTGCATGCAATTCATTCCGTAGGTGCCGCTGCGGCGGAGCACTTCGCGTCAGAAATGCTACCACACCATCGGATGGGCTAAATCCAACACAAAAATTAATGGGAAGTCCTTTCATAAAACGGATGTTACCCTTGTAGTGCTTAAATCTGTCGATACCGTAGATGAAAACCGGCAAAGCATTGAGTTCTCTACCGTGAACTTGGTTTCAAATGTTTCCTGAATGATCCTCCACACACGATATTTCAGCTTACCGAAAGCCACAAATGCCTGCGATACGTGGATGCGCGGTCGCTGTTAATCTGCAAGTCTGTTGGTAGCGTTCTCGAGATGTAGCCAAATTTCGACGCCTCCAAAACTTTGCCGCCAATTTAAATTTGCAGGCAACCCACGATTCCAGTCTTGGTGACGGCATAGAAAGACAGATTTGCTTGTGCTGATGGTGAGTCAGAATATGGTCACCGTCTAAGCGAATGCTGTTGTCATGCGCTGCTACCCTCTGTGTGCACACAAAGCACAGTCGTCAGCAAACAGCGATTCTGGATAGTTGTCTCAAGCGTTCTAGTTCACCCCGCGAAAGATGGATGCTCTAGAACCTACCATCGACATGGCGCTCGACAAGGGCATGTAATCACAGACGTTGAAAGCAGTAGGCAACCTTACAAGTAGGTAAATAATAAACCGAGTAGACACTGAGGTAGCGCCTTGTTTTATACCAGAGAAAACCTCGAAATCATCCGATGATTCTTCGCACAGTTGCACACTCGCGTGCATAACACTGTGCAAGTTTTAACCAAGGCTGCCAAAATTACCGGAGCATCCAAACTTACACGACACCGGCCACAGAGCCTCGCGGTTCCCCGCGTCAACTACATTGGTAAAGACTACAAACAACGAGCATCGTGGCTGGTTCCAATTACGGCTTCCTTTTTACAACCGAGTAACACGAATACCATGTCTATCGTGCTGCGAATGGGAGGGAGACAGCATTGCATTTCAGCCGCTTTTTGTTCATGCACCTGAGTAATGATTCGGTTGAACAGGATTAAAACTATCACCTTTCCAATGCAACTCAGCGCGTTCTTGTATAAAGTACACACACATACACACGTAAGTACATATATATATATATATATACATATATATATATATATATATAAATTTGTGTATATAATTATGCACATATATAATATAAGTGCTCATTTAATAGGAGCTATGGACTGTGATTCGTTGAATTTTAGGCTCGACAACTATTGCAAGATGACTTGTGCTTGAAGCCACTATTACACCTTTTGCCAATGCTCATGCCTCCGGACACGCAAAATTTTAAATATTTCAAGTGAATTCATCTTATTCCGGTGTACTAAACTGGTGTACTCATGAGAAGGGGATTTTGATGTAATTAAGCGAGGTTCTTCGCAGCCAGCTTCCGAATCAGATATTCGTCCACATGCCCCGAAAAGCACTAGACTGCAGCTTCAGCCTGTTGGACATCATCAGTAGTGTGCATCCATCGGATCCAGCAGGATTCGAACCCATGATCACCAGCGGCTTGAACCGCCAGTCAGCAACTTATGCCACTGGACCACGGGGAAAAGCTTCGAACCGTCATGATTTACAAACTAACTGCGAGATAGCGTGTTTTCTCCTCCACTGCCATGCAAGTTACGAGCGTTGCAGAGGACAAGGTTAGCCCCGAAAGACATGATGTCCACTAACAGTAGCTATGAACGACATAGCACTCATGAGTATTCGTGAGTACATCAAAATATATCCGCCCTGACAGTTTCTAAATGCTATGTTCTACATAGCTACTGTTAGTGGACGTCATGTATTTCTGAACCAACCCTGTCCTCTGCAACGTTCGTAACTTGCATGGCAGTGGAGGAGAAAACACGCTATCTCGCAGTTAGTTTGTAAATCATGACGGTTCGAAGCTTTTCCCCGTGGTCCAGTGGCATAAGCTGCTGACTGGCGGTTCAAGCCGCTGGTGATCATGGGTTCGAATCCTGCTGGATCCGATGGATGCGCACTACTGATGATATCCAGCAGGCTGAAACTGAAGTCCAGTGCTTTTCCGGGCATGTGGACGACTATCTGATTTATAACCTGGTTGCGAAGGACATCACTGAATTAAACTGGTGTTTTTAAAAAAATATATTTGCCACATGCGCGAAAGAAAGTGCTCGAGCTATCTACCAAGTATACCTAAGTCATTTCGAATGTATATTTAATGAGATAATTTGTCCTTAGGTCATTCGCAGCTCTTTTGTAACCCAATATGGTTGCATTAACAATTTCCGCACTTTCTACTTAGGTCATTAAGCTGCTGTAGGTAACTATTCTTCGAGATTCGTGATTGTTTAACGGGCTTCCGTCTCCTGGTTAGCTAAATCTGAGGATAACAGCTGCAACGCGGAAATATTTTCCATAATCTCAACTCAAGGAGAACAATTTATTTACGCTGGCTGTCTTCATCGCCCTTAATTCTTCTCCTCTGTGTTCCAGCTGTACTTCACCGGAGCAGTCAGTACATTGTGGAATGGGCACCTAGGGTCTGTATTGAGACCCAAGTTTTCTCAAGTCACCCTGCATATACATTGCAGAGGCAAATGATATCGGTAAGTACGCAAGCATGCTCATAACGCCTCAAAATCAAAGGCATCAGTTCATTAAAGAATTGAATGGATTTCGTGTTTACAACAAGGTGTGTCCAAACGCTTTGGGCAAATGATACAATTTGACTCGAGCAGTAAGCTGGAACTAGTGCATAGCAGTAGACGGTTGAATCATCTGCAGTTATTCATAATGATAATAATATTGCATAGTTCCCCCGAATACCGAGAAGCAGTGGGCACAAATGGACGGATCGCAATTACGTGTGCAACTTGTTTGCGTATGCAGCATTCTCAATGGTTGGGTATTATGTATGGAGGAAATAGGTACGTTTTGGGAACGTCATTTGTGGCTTTCACTGTCGTTTCATATCAATACACGAACATCCCCAATATTTCGCTTTCGGTGTATATCGGGGATACCATTCAGAAGATGTGTTCATGGAAGAAGAATAAAGGAGATTCGGGTTAAAGCAATTAGAGCCAATAACTGAAATCAGCCTATTAGTATGCGATCATGCAAAACAATTTATAGTAATAGAGCACAAGACACTATGAGTAGCAGGAATTTGTGCTTGGTGCAATTTTACTCAGATGCGGAAGGGAAGCGTCAGCTAGGATTAATACGTCAACGTAACTCCATATCAATATGCCAAAACTTCAGCTGCGCAAGAGGAGTGTTGTAGGGTAGTATGTATATAATGGTAGTTAGGGCAATGTGAGGTGCCTGGACAAGTCTAGATCTAGGTAGCGGATTAACCTGTTCGCACATCATGTGTCGTGTGGTACTGAGTTTGTGTGAGGCTAGTTTAGCTCAGTGACTTAGATCCGCTGTTATAGGTGGGGATTTGTGACTTAGGTAGTCATACAACTTGCTAAAATCGTTTGACATAATAGACGTAGTTTCATTGTTGGGTATTGCTACGCTCACACGTAGTCCCATTTGGGGCCACGGTATTAAATTTGGAGATAATCCTAGGGTTTCAACCACCTAGACCTCATGTAAAATGAACGTGAAGGAATTAGTGAGCATGAGCATGAGCTGCCGTCCACAAAGAATGACCGCACTCTCGACTCTAGTATTTTCTATTTGGTTAGGCTAGATTATGATGAGAACGAGGACGCTGTGCAGTTAGGTACACAGCATTCCTGAAACTCAATGCTTTTAAAGTGGATCACCAAGATTTTCGCTCGAACCTATTTTTCTTGTCGCAATCCAGACGCACGGTATTTACTAAAAACATAGAAACTAATGAGGAATATTTGCAAGTGGTCCTAGAAGATGTGTTTTGGTATTATTAATAAGTCGACAGAAGCGCCGCTACTACCAACATGTTAGCAATCCACGTCATTTTTCACTTAAATCAGTGGGTGACGTTGAAAAATATTCTGGATCAAAGCTCTTCCTCCATACGCGTTTTAGTAGGCAATTGGCTGGGTTACAGAAATAGCGGCGCATAAACTGATGCCGGTAAATTTTGGAAGGATCATAGGAATATATTCACTTTTGATCTTTAAGATTGTATAATATCCTGCCGTCTGTGTATAGTGTGAATGCTAGCAGCTGCACTGAGCCGTTTTTAAGATCTGATGTAGTCCGTATTTTTATCATTTGAAGAGCACTTGGTCGTCCTAACGAACTTCCCAGATCGATTTATCAAGTTATTCGCACTCTATCACTGGTATTCTTTCAGGGCGACGAACTGGCTAATTTTGAGTTGGATAACCTGCACTTCCAATGCCATTATAAAGTGACCTTGGCTGATTTGACCTCGTCTCCAACTGAAGCCCGAACGCACAAGCAATGGGTGGCTTGTTTCTGTACCCCTTCCTGTCACACTGTGCCCGTGAGATCCGGACTGCCTCCTGCCAACTGTACCAATGCGAGTGAGTGTTTATCAGCTCGAAATTCAGTGGTGGCATGTGGCAAGCAGCAACATTTTTAGTACCGTTGTTTATTCTATACCAAATATAAGAACAAAATATCCTGAGAAGCTGTGACTTGAATACTTTACTGTTACTCTGTATGACCAACAATACCTTTGCACCATGCTTTGTAACTGTACAAACGACTTTCCCAACGAGCTCCTTACTTATCACATGGTGGTCAGTTTCACAACAATTACCCAGCGTTTCAAGCAATCTTCCATTTCATCAGAAAACACTTCGCACTTTATCCTGGGCCGATTTTCAGGGTTTACAGCATTACAACTGCCAAGTGGTAGCGAACAGTTTACCACAGCTCCTGACAGCGAAAGTAGTTGTTACGCCACACTGTAATTTTGATACCACAGGCTGTTAATGCGCTTCGCCATGAAGTCCGGTGTAGCCGATGGCAAAAATATCGTGATCCTTAAGATGATAATATTTCGGATAGTCCGGCAACTTATTAGTTCTAGCCCATCAGTTAGATTTGGAAATCGTTGGGGAAATCAGTGCTTCGGCATTTGTCACGCGGGATTTCTCGGCGGATATTGGCACGCAATCAGGATAGAAAGACGTATTTCGGTAATTTCTCTTCAACACAATCGTACCCTAGACTACTCTTAGCATGCGTGAAAAAACCTTGCGACTCGAGCCAACCTAATGGTAAACAAAACGCTTCATGTTCCGTTAGCTCCTATTGGGTGGCTAATTTCATTCAAAATACCAAACATCTTTGGAAACGGTCCCATGAATGCGAATATCAGATATTGTTTTCAAGTCAACTCAACGAAAATTGAGTAGCATATGTCAAACACACGGCGAGTGCTCTTAGACCCAATAGTCAGACAGTACATTCATTACAGCTGGATATGCCAATTAAACCGTGGGTGCTGTGGAATTATGAGTCACATTCCGAGAACATCGAAACTGGCTCATGTAAATATAAGAATCAAGCTGCCACTTTCAACCGGAGTGAGATTAATTAATGCTGGTTATTGAAAGTAAAGGCACCCATGAATTCTATGGATGGGTTTGTACATTCTAACGAAGCTGCATTTTATAGGAACTTCATAGGCTGTTTAGGATTCAAATCATATTTCCAAGGGAAAAGAATGAATGAATTTCAAAATTACTAGCAATGGCTATTGTGACCAAAACGCAGTTGCTGTCAACCATCTCGATATGAAGTTGTCATGTTTGGAAATTAGCTTAAGAGCAGCAATGTATTCCGAATTTATTGTGTTTCTGCCCCAATGCATAGCAATTTAAATATCCAACTGAACGACTTCCAGTTATGCTGACTGGAAACCATCGGCAAAACTGCGGGAGACGACAAGCACATGGTTTTATAAGATGATTTTATAATAACTGGTTTTATAATAGGATCGTTTTAACTCAGAATTCCTGTGTTTACGAGATAAACACGGTTAAAATATGTTTATTTTCGTGATCGAAATCAATGTTTTCTCCCACTTTGCTTCTTTCGTATAAATTCAGTGGTATTTGGCCGACTAAAGTCAATGAGGGTTTCTTACGAAATACTAACCTCAATGAAGGCACCGTTGGAGATGGGAATAATACAGCATCCACCTGTTAGCAGTGCAGAACTGCCGCAGATTTACAGCCCAACAGAGAGTCCTCCGACCGGGTCCACAGGTTCAAAGGCGGGCACTTATGATGCGGTTGTCAAATGGTATCCCGTGAGTGAAAGTTCAGCAGAAGGCAAGCGCCATTATCGCACGCTTTTCAGCCGTGAAACGGACGCGACCGATGGAGTTCGGGGCACCAGAATAACATGGGGTCCCCGAATTTACGAACCGGTAAAATTGGAATCCTACCACAACGGCTTACTTCCACTTTTGGACCTAGAAAAGACGCAATCGAAAGTACTACACCCAGTGAGTCCATAAATGTCAATGGTCTACTTGCTAATTAAGTTGCATTGAAAGAAGAGTCGGCTGAACATATACCAACCCAGTATTTCTCCTTCGCATGTTCCTTTTCAATAGGACACTAAAGACTTCGTGTTAAAGGGGCTTGTGCTCGATACTGTGTATATTGTACATGTACAAATGATAGGAGACCGAATGGAAGGACCGACCACGACGATTTTTCTTAAATATCCAGGTGAGCCAGTGTCAATATGATACATTGTTTATTTCAGTGCGGATGAGCTTCGCATAGCAAGTTATCAATGTTCGCTTTTTCTGTGATTCTGATTGCTAGGTTAAGGCCTTAAATGTGTGTTAATCTTTTATATATAAATAGTGCATATAACTCTTGTGAATATCATAAACGACCCTTAATGACGTGTCAAGATTTCGCCATAATTCGAGTCGAGCTCGACACCTGAAATATGTGAACGTGTTAGCGTAAATCCTCGAAAGTCATGGCCTGAAGGAGGACAATTTCCACATTTAATGCATCTCATCAGATGAACAGAAGTTAGTAATTTTTTAATACGAAGCCTTCCGTCAGTACCAAGGTTTGTCTGGTCCATTGGGTATCGGGAAAAGGTAATCGCGGTACTCTCGTTTAACTCAGATGCGGCTGTCTACAAAGAAATGAATTTACTCTTTTTACCATTTCCAAGTACTTAATCCATACAAGGATGCGGATGAATGTCTGTTTCACCTGCTTCAGAGCGTCGAAGAATTTTAGCAAGCGGGATAAAAGAAATAAGTGCACTAGGAAATAGTGTTGCTTTTCTAAATAAACAAAACTCTGTTACTTCAACAAACAACACAATCGATGACAACGGCTCTCAGTCAGTGGCTTAACGATGAACTTGCGCCCGGTGTGTCATCAGCAACAAATCCTGTATCTTCTGAATATTTGCTTGAATTATTGATATCTCCAACTTCTGATTACGAAATGTCTGTTGTATTGTATTCAGCCTCTATGGAACATACGAATGCCGCGACAACACAATTGTGCCGGCTGAATCGCAGCGGCTGGCGGATGATTCTTGGGATTCCACTCTACTTGCTGTTGTTGCTTGAATTCACAATGAGGTGAAGCTCATCAACGGCGGGTGAAACGAAAGCCTATGGAGCCAAAGAGGAGTGGTCATTCTGTCCAATTTAGGCTAGACAACACAGATATGCTTGTAAACATTTTCCTCAGGATAAGGGGATTAACCGTCCCCGTGTACATATTGAGGTGTAACGAGAGAGAGCAGAAATGTGATATTTACATAATTCCACAAACTACCAGTCCAGTTGCTTCCATTTGATACAACTATTTCATAAATACATTTGAACTGTTAACGTATGTCTTGTCCTCCTTATTCCTATCTGGGGAGTACCCAACATCTTAGGTTAGGTTTTGAGTACATATTAAAAATCAGTGCTTAGAACACATGGTTTCTCCCTGTTCAGAAAGGAAAAACATGAGTTTAATTCACTGCGGTTAGGTTGCCACTGTAAATAAGTTCATAATAAAAATAAGGCAACTGAAGGCAAAACAGGGAAGAGGGAAGAAATTTGACTTCGCTCCAAATAACTGCTACACTACCACTAAAGTTGCATAACAACATTGATGATTGCTAGCCAAGCCGTTAAGTGTGCAATAGACCGAGTATTAGCCTCCTCACACTGCCGTGGGATGATAAAAACTTCAATGGACTCTTATTTTTTACTAAAGTTTTCTTACGCACAAATGTCTTTGAAACATGGTTTTCAGTTTGAAATCTCAAATAAGAAAATCAGAAGACGAAGATTGTGGGATGAAATTGTCATTTCCTGCATACTCATCGACCACATACTAGCAACTAAGGAGTGCTAAAGGTCACGTGAAATCAAGTGTTTATCAAGTATTTTCCGATTGGTGTGTTGCACGGTTTCACTGTAGACTTAGTGTTGGTGTCAAAAAAGTTTGGACACACAAGTACCGTAAATTACCGAATATAAACCCGTCCATAGATCGGCTGAGAGTATAACATTGCAACATCAAATTTATTCTAAGACTTGACTAGCAAGGTCGTAAATTCATGTATTAGCCTACCCCTAGAATTCAGCGCAATGCGAAATTGTTTCTCCGTGATTTTGACCTCATCACCACCTGCTCTGACTTGAATGTGTTCAAGTGAAACCTTAAATACTACTGGTTAGTTGTGGTGAACGTAAAATGTTATTATCATAGTTAATGAGGCAAAAAGCTGTCAGAACAGACTTTCACCACATCGGAGTGTGTTGACCAGATGAAAAGTCACTTGAAACAGGTAACAGAGCCGAAATGTGGTAAGGTGAGAGGGGATCGCAGCGATATGAACAACAGTAGAGCAACGGATAAGAGTGAAGTTCAGGGTCAGGGGCGTAGGACGACCTTGTACATTTAAGGCACCGGATGGCCTGGTGCTTTCCTTCGCTCCTGTCACCCTCCTCCAACATCAAATATGCAATGTATCGAGAATTTGCAATACAAATTAGCAAGTCCCGTTGGCACACCGTCCGCCATTAGCAGGTGATGCAAGATGGAAGTGAGGGCAGTTGTGTGCTGTGAATTCCTTTGTGCTATTTGTATCTGACCTATTTCAAATTCCCTATAATAATTTTATAAACCAATCCCCCTCTAAAAAATTGAAAACCTGTCTAAAAACCATCGGCTTATTTAAGGTAATATACGGTATCTGATATCCGTATGGATTCCCAGAACCTGTTTCACCAACCATGCATTATTGAACGAAAGCCGGGCACAGCGATGTAAGGAACACAAACGCTGTGTTCAGTTGCGTACAACGATTCTAAATCACGTCAGCTGTTTCGGGGACCTTCGGCAATTTATGTTGCTAACCAGGAACTGGTGAACTGATCAACGGTTGTTGGCGAAACAAACCCGTGATTCTTAATATCTATACAAGTTTCTTACCGACGCATATAGCTGGTCGCGCCAATCAAATCGACAGTTTGTTCCTGACCGGATACCTGAGATTTGCGCTACAACGTATTGGATGGCCATTTCAGTTTACCTGCTAGCTGGAAGGTAAATAAAATGAGGTAATCCACTGGTTATTAAGGGATCGTAATGAGTGTTATAGGAGGGAAAGCTACCGATAATAATCGTCTCCTGTGTGACGGTTAATGACAAGCAATAATGCATGGATTTTCTTCGCGTACACAGCTACGGTTGCTAACGCTCTGACTGAGAACTAGATAAAGAGATCTCCCAAGCACTCATTTTTTCGTTTACATATGACAGCTAATTCATGGGTTAAGGATCTGGTAGGATGAAGTCATTGGTAAAGAGTAAGACGGAAGACCAAAGGGCATCCATGACTACATTTTTGTTCCCTGTTTATCCCAATGCATTCAGGGTATGCCTTATGTATAGAACCATAAACCAAAGGGAAGGGTGGTAAACAAATTGCCGTTTGAAACGGAATTGTAAATTCACATCTTACAGCATATCAATGGACGATGATTTATCACGCGTAAAAGATGTATGTGCTTGACAAGTCTCGTAGGATTGTTTAGGTGAAAATAAATAATTGTAAGGGTCAACGATTAAGTAAATTGTTATTTTAAGCGTCCGCCGACATAAATGCACTACAGCATAACGAATGTTTGAAGTAGGAATGAGATGCGCGCACACAAAATAGTGTGAGTGTTGTTATAGTCCATTAAATGCGTGAGAAAGGAAAATGGAGGTGACAGCTTATTCGTGTGTTCATTTGACGGATGTGTTATGTTACTCCAGCTTAGATACATCCACGCTACTCACATGAACACTTCTGCATGTATCTTCACCGCTGTTAAGCAATTGGTTAGGTTTGCGTTATATCGTCGTCCAAGTAGAACAGACTATATCAAGTAATGCAAGTTGGAAAGAGAGCAATCAAATCGTTTTTAATTGCGTTAATATAAGGGCAAGGATAAGGTGAGTCGGAAGGACATTTCAGGCAAGGGATACACGGAGGAAGAATTGTTCCGTAGACAATCAAGTCAACTGTATTGCATAGCCAGTTTGAGATAATGCCCTATCAGGCTGATATTTTGGCTCCGCTGCAACAGATTGCGACATGGATGGGTTGGGTTCGTCAGTATTAAGTAAACCAGGATTAGGTCTTCTGACTGACGTCGATATTCACCACTGTACTATCTCAAGGACTGCAGTCTGCGTTAGTAGGAGAGATAAAATAGTTCTCTAACGAGTTTGGTCGCTCTAAGTTCTGAAGCTTCAAGTGCATCGATGTCGTGCTTGCGCTAGTGACGCCAGGCCTTGATGGTGTATTCCATAGGGGTTCTCACGTAGGGATTCAGCATTTGCGGAGACTGATGGCAAGCAATTTCCGAAAGCACTTCCGTAAGATTCCAAGATGTTAAGTGGCTCTATTTGATGCATTTCCTGTTTCGAGCAGCCAAGATGGTCCTGCACCATCACTCCTAGGACGCTTTCTTGGGAAACACTTTGCAAATACCGGTTCCCAAATCGGTATTCATGGATATGCTGCTGGCATATGCTCACAACTTTGCACCTCGACAACTTGAACTGGAGCAGGTTTTCGGATGACCACGTATAAGCCCTGATGAAATCTCTCTGTAAAGCAATGTGATATTTCACCGTCTTCTTCTCATGCTACATTTTGACATCATCTGCAAGCTTTAAGAAATCTGACTGCAGTGCACTTGTAAGATCTTTATTGAATGTTAGGAAAAATGTGGACCCAGTACCGATTCTTGGGGAAAGTCACACTGTTCGTCATTTGGGTGGGAAATGGAGCTGCGGACTCTCATATTCAGCTAACGTTGAGCGAGGAAGTCGCCAATTCAACCTAGTATAGGGTCACCGATTCCATAGCTTCGAAGCTTGTGCAGAAGAACGAAGTGGTCAAAACGATTGAACACTTTCGGTAAGTCCAGGTAAACAACGACATCGGCTGAATCTCTAAAAATTGCTCGGACTAGAAGCAAATAGGTAGGGCAGGATCGATTTCGGCGAAATCCGTGTTGCTGTGAGACAGTAGGATGTTGTTGCTTTCAAGGTATTCCATGAGAATCTCGGCAATTAGGCGTTCCATTAATTTGTATAAAACTGGGAGGAGAGTGTTTGGAGGATAGTTCGATGGCTCTAAACGACACAACTTTTGTAAATAGGAGTGACTAGTCCAGGTTTCCAAGTCGTGGGAACCAGAATTTCGTCGAATCAACGTTAAAAGAACCGAGCCAATTATTCGACAAGGTTTATGTCCGCTGTCTTCAATGCCTTCGTTCTGATCTCGTCCACGCCAAGTGAGCCGTGCACGCGCAATGACATTAGCGTTTTCATCACATTGGCTGCCCTGCACGTTGCGTGGTTTAACCCGAGTGTCGATGGAAGCTGAATAAAATGCAGATGAAATGATACTTCAATCTGGACAGTGTGAATGAAGTGTTGGCAAAGCCCTTTGACTGCATCTTGTGTGGTTTGCGCAAAACAATCTGCTGAACGAAAAACCGTGATTCCACGCTGTACTCTGCGGAGATTGTTGACGCGTCTATACAACAACTTGCTATTTGTACCATTTTTCTCCGCTAAACCTTGTTGGTGCTGGATTTTGTCTTCGCGTATCAACTTGGTGCAGTAGTTTCTTTGAGTTGTGTAAGCACCACAGGTCAGGTTAATTGAACAGATGTTTATAAGCGCGTCAAGCTGAATCCCTTAAGGCTATGCATTTTTTCTTGTGGCTGCTCAGGAACTAATACACTTTCTTCGTGCGCAAGACCTCGGTTTCCGACACAGTCGCCAGTAGCTCAAAAAATTTGGATGATAAGCACAATCCAGGCGACATCGGACTGCTGCATGGCTAGGAAGAACCAGTCGGTTTCTTGAACGAGGTTGGACTGGAGGTCGTAATTTGTAAGGAGATAGTTTTCCTCGTTATTCTTACTCATGTACTCCGAGTAACACAAGTAACGAAAGAGCAACATCGCGTGAGCGCTACGGCCATGTGGTGCATCTATGGTCACGGTGTCGACCATTAGTTCCTCGTTGGAGAGCATAAGGTCCAAAACATAGGGTGTGTCGCCCGTTCGGAATCG